TTGTAATGTAAATTATGTTGTGAATTTTAACTGACTGAATTCAGTTAAAGATTACTGTATGCTTTCTTATCCATATGTTGTAAGAACGTCACCTGCGCACAGAAAATATCCTATAGTTTATGGTATATTTGATACTGAAATTTTTCTTCATATTCCGTGTGTTGCAATTACACGTATGTTTCGGTCAGTATTGATTATTTAGGAGCGCCCATGGCTAAGCGCATATCTCACTTATCGTATTGTCCATCAAGCTCAGAATAGCTTTATCCGAGAATAACTTGTATATTGTGTATATCATCTATGCTTTACCGATCAATGACAGGGTTGTTGGACGGTGTATTGTTGGGTGTATTTAAGATGTCTTTTTTTTTTTAATTCACATAGTGGGGGGTGGAGTCCAGTTGGGTCCACTCGGCACGGCGGCCACTGATTGGCCTATTGTACCTTTCCCGGCTGATTAAGATAATGGAGAATTTGGTGGAATGAAGATTGGCAAGGGAAACCGAAGTACTCGGAGAAAACCTACCCCAGCGCCATTTTGTCCGCCACAATTTCCACTTGACCAGACCCGGGATCGAACCCGGGCCGCCGTGGTGGGAAGCCAGCGACTAACCTCTTGAGCTATGACGCGGCTCTTTTAAGATGTCTTTACTTCCTTGTGTTGTGTGCGTACTCTTAGTACATGTTATGCCCTTGTGGCCTAACGAAAGGAAATTTAAAATTCCGGGGTTGCTTGGCACCCCGCTTAACTCTCGGAACCAAGAAAGCTGCTAAACAAATACAACTTGCCAACGTGCGGCAAGTCTCACTTGGAAACACTGAACCAGCAGTTGCGACAGGTGTAGTAGTTCTTACAGTTTGTTGAATGTATGAAGGAATGCTAACTGGCAGAGGTCTTCTGTTCTATAACCCTTAGCTCGGTGAGTATGGGCAGTCTAATGTTAGACATTTACGAGTTGCTATGGTAGCAATGCACCATAGCCTACTGACGCTGCAACCGTCGCTCCGCAGACGCAAACGCAAACAAAGAAGGCCATGGGACAGAGAATGTACCGCTTCCTCCTCGCGCTCCTCTGCAACCCAAGCAAGTGAATCCACGTCCTGTGGCTGACGCCCAGAGGGTACCGCGCTGAGGCTAGTCAAATATGAAATCATATAACTTAGCTCACCCCAAAATGAGTATGTTGATAGTGTAAATAAATGTTGGCAATACCGGACCCCCCCTCCCCGCGCTACAAGAACCCCAGCCACCGGAGAACCTGAAACGCTACCAATAGGAATACGTGGAGCTAAGATTCGGCCACGAGCCCTGAACCTCCTCCTTGAAGGGCCCCCCAGTCCATACCAGGTTTCCAGAGTGGTTGCCACCCCAATGCGTACAGCAAGTGCTAGCAGTAGGGAGAGGATAACACTTTAACAGTGGTGTCAGCAAACTGAGATAGTACACCACTGCATAACATCGTCATCTGAGCATATTCTTGTGTTTACGTTGATGTATTTTGCAAATCGGTAATTGGTTAAATAGAACTGTTGAAATCGTATTTGCAATAGACGTGTAAATTGATGTTTAATACTCTTATAAGGCATTTGGGTAGTTCTTGTACGGGAGCACTCTTCGTGTTTAATATTGGATTGATGGGCACATTGGGTTTCTGGTATTTTATTGTGGCGTGTAGAGTGGGAGAGCTAGGGGGGTTGATGTTTGTGCATATCTATGTAGTCTCTTTACGTATGATGTTATTACATTGTTTTATCTTGTGCTTTATGAATTTTTGGTATTGCTGGGTTGGACTCTTATTGATTTCTGTGTACTGATTTCCCGATATGGCCTTCTATATTTTATATTTGTATTCGTTGTTTGTTAGGATCACTAGGGTTTTGCTTTTGTTCGCTTTTGCTGCTGTAACATAGTTATCTGTTAATTTCTGTTTTATGTTTTGTATTAATTTCCATTCTTTTTTGTTACTGTTGTTATCTGGTCTTATCTTGTATTGATGTTTTGAATGGTTTTTGCTACTGTGCATTTATAGTGGCGTTATTCTCATGTGCCTCCTTGGCTTATTGCGGTTGCTGCTTTTAGAGTTTGTGTTTCGACGCAGTTCTTTTTTGTGGTGTACGTTGTATTCTGCTTCTTTGTTTGGTAGTTCTATTTCTTTATATATGGTTTACATATTTGTGTATTCGGTTTTTATTATTGTTCTTTTGTTTGCATGTTTCTTCCACTGTACTTTGTCATTTTTTTATGTTGCTTTCAGTGACCAGCAAAGGTAACTTGCACATGCTTGACACTAAAATAGACACATTTCATCATTCGAAACCTTACATCGACGTCACAACAAATAACTCATCATCATCATCATTAGTAATCTGTCAGACGACAGGTCCACAGTCTCTTCCAAAATAATTCCTCCACTTAATGCGATCTAGAGCTTTCTCCTTCAAATGACAGTATCCTCTTCTGTCCCCAGGGTCATCCAGCATCTTCTTACGTCTTCTTCCTCGTCTTCTTGTCACTTCTATCCGCCCCTCTATCTTTCCTTCAATAACTTCTTTTAGAAGGCAGTTTCTGCGTAAAATATGACCAATCAAATTAGCCTTCCGTTTTCTTATTTCGTGTAGGATATTCCTCTGCTCACTGACTCTAATTAACACTTCTTCATTTCTCACATAATCGGTCCAACTGATCTTCTCCATCCTTCTCCAACACCACATTTCGAAACTTTCCAGATGTTTCTGATCTACTGCCCTAAGTGTCCATGTTTCAGCCCCATACAGAGCTATGCTCCAAATGTAGCATTATAACTCATCTCTAGTATAAGAAGGCAAAAATAAAACACGATCAACAAGTACACCTGAAGTCCTAATCCGTCTGCCGACCAATATCGTACGTAATTAGAGTGCATGTATGAGTTTTCATACTCTATATCAGAACAATATCATCGGATTAGTAATTCGATTTATTGAATACTTACAGGTCGTAACTACAAAATATTATAACACTGTTACTGATTTTCACACTACAGAGCACTCCACTCTAATCTCTTCAGTCTATCTCCGCTAGCCTTCACGGATTTATAACACAGGAACTTTAAGAGTCTCCATAAATCACACACTTCCAATATCACTGTACTGCAGCACATATAAAGTCTTCAAATCACACATTAAGTCTTCATAGGCTGACTTCTTATACTCTTCAACTACGAACTTCCCGTGGCTATCTCCTACCGACAACCGCTCGTCCCTGAACCAAACGAATTCTCTCACTTATATAGCCAAGGAACGGAAATGCATCACAGGAAACACATGTCACGTGACCACCACCCAACCGCTGCTTGACGTCACCGCGGACACGAAAAACAAACCCTCCTCTATTGTTGCGTGGTGAACCACGTTTACCGAGTTATTGCCTGGCAATGCATTGATCAAATCCGTTACAGTATGGACACATAACATTTTACATTTCGGCATATAAACATAAAAAATGGAACTTAACAACAAAGCTACACAAAGGACTGAAGGAAACAGGGAGATGTAGCAATTTCATTAAATTTTGATACACCAGAGTTTTCATTTTAACCCCAAATTTAAAAATAATTAAGCTAACATTTCAAAGAATGATAATAGATTGTAAAATCTAGCAGTTTACTAGCTCGCGGACAGTGCTAATATTGTGTTAAGATGATAAAATATTTGGCTGAAAGATGTAAAATGAATCAATACGTGAATGTAAGTGATATGTGTGATTAACATCACACAGCCGAAAACAAGGATTGACTTGCTTAGAAAGAATTTAAAAGATCTCTAGTACCACAACAGAATGATCTAAAATATGACACGATGAATCATTGATTGTGTCATAGAAATGGGAGATATTCAGGGAATTCCTCAGAGGTGTAACTTTGGTTACGAAGAGAGAATGACAAAAGAAAAGAAAAGAAAGGAAATGATTCGACTTGTCCGAACTCACCGTTCTCCATCAACTATATGACTGATTATTTGAAGGAAGATTCATGGCGCCATGAGATTGCTTCCATACCGTTGTGATATTGATGCAGTATAATTCATTTGTAATATTTGGAAACCGAAGTTTCTCAAAGAAGAAAAGTTGCTCAAAATGCTCCTGGAATGGCAAATCCCGCTCCTCAGGCTGGTGACAGCATGAACGAGGAAACTGGAAAATGCACTTCCACAGGTAAATCAAATCGAAGCCGATTACGGCGCAAGGGATAGTCTGACAGAGACAGAAAGAGAGCAAGTGGTCAGGGCTGGCTGTGCCGAATCTGAAATTTATTCGCTCTGTAGCTTTAATGGATTTTTCCTTTTAAGCTTGCTTGACAGATGGTAACGCTCTCTATGACGTTCCAGGTAAATATGCAATTAAATCATTAGCCTACTTTCCTTATTTTGAAAAAAATATAAATGGAGGCTTATGAGGTCACCTTGCTGTCTGTCTGCGTATCCGTCAATGTCTGTCCATATATCTATGTATCCCCTACTTTTTGATACTTATAAGACGAACAAGACCACCTTGCTGTCTCTGTGTATCCTCCATAATCTTTTTTGTTAGAACGCTTATGACATTGCCTTCTTATTGTGTGTCTCCCAGTAATTTTTTCTTCTTCTCTACGGTCCGAACCGTATCAAAGGAAACTAGGCGATCAGGTCTCCCAGAACTTATTGGTTTCTTTATGTAGAAGTCTGCATTCACACTTTTTGTGTTATAAATGTTATGATATTTCATTTTGTTCAGTACATTCTGTCATTGAATGTACCGCACACAGGTAAGAATTTCCCTATAGTCAGCTGTCGCATCACGTGCCCTAGTACTTCCCCTCGCCGTCTAAAAATTTAAGGTTTTCGAGTAATCGATACGCACAATTCTAAGGATACACCTCATTATTCTTTTACTGTACACTGTATCCCGTTTTTATGAACCGGCATTGGAGATGCTACCATATCAGTGTGAGGAAATATTATTTACAAAATTGAGACATGGTTAAAATATTGTAATTATTCATTTAATGTGTTTACATGCTCATTTAATCAATGCAGTTGAAATATGTTTACGAAGACTCATCTCTTTATGTAAGACATGCTCATTTCATTAGCGTAATTCCCTACGAAAATTCAAAACCTCGTTTATTAAAAGAACTGTATTGTTAATTATACATGTACAGATCAGACTAATTGTAACATTAAATTTTAAACGCCAGCACATAGGATTATAAGGGTGAGGCCATAGTAATACACATACACGTACTGTGATTTTGACGCTGGTGGCGCTTGCGCAGATGTTGCTTCGTAGTTAAACATTGCCTGTGAGCGTTTTAACTCTTGCTGGATGCCATTCTTCTTCGATCCACTGCCCTCAGTTGTTGCCTACGAATATAAAGACATTTAATTAACATTATTGTCTGTCATCATAATGAGTTTATCTCAGATACTGAATGGATGAGATCCTGAATCTTATCCATCGATCAGCAACAAACGAAGTAATCTAATCTGATTGGTCTGTTAGGGCTACTACCAACATAGAAACCTCAAATAGTTTGTGACGACAGTGTAGTAACCCTTTAATGTATTTCTGGACATTATATATCATCCTGTTTTTATTGAAAACATAAACGTTTCTGAGACTGGATTCCGTCTCCGTCTTCAGGTGGAACCTACTCATTTGGGCCCAATCGATAGAGCTGGTCCCTATCTCACAGGTGAGTTACTTTCACCTGAAGACAGAAAAGGAATCCAGTCTCCGAAACGTGTTATAAATAAAAACAGGATGATTAGGTAATGTCCAGAAACAATAATTTTATTCAAAACCATGATCTCAGTCTTTCAAGTATATGTAGATTCTAAACGGACCTGACAGTGGCGTATAACACTCAGGATTGTTGGAATTTTGGACTTCGTCCATCGTCTGGTAACAAATGTCGACTGTTTTATGGAGTCCCTGTAAAGAGACCTTTGGGTATAATATTGTGACATGACGCCTGAAAGTCGCAATAGTGTAGTCAGAGCAGATGTCCATTACTAGGCAGCGGTTCGGTAAACACATTGCAGCCGGCAACGAATACGCAAGAAACGATCGAAGAATTGCCGTTTCTATACATCGTCGAGGTATATACGCCTCTATAACAATAGAGGAATTATTAGGACAGGGTGTTTTCTGTTGAGGCGGACCCAAGGCTATATAACGATGATTACAAGTGAGCTAGAATGCGAATTGGAGGGAGCCTGGGGCCTCGGCAGTCGCAAATGGTTGAGGAGAGATGGCAACGAGATAGTTGGTAGTTGCAGCAGAAAAATTGGATTGAAAGTTCCAGGGTTGGCAGTTGGTTGACGATGGAGGAATCGAGAGAACCCAGTTCAGACCTGGAAGTCCGGTAGTGAAGAGAAGACTTATGTGTGCAGTAGTACAGTAATAGTTGGGTGTGTGATTCAGTGAGATCGTTATAGATCCTCTGTCAAAATCCGTTACCAGGAAACGAATTGTGGAGAGTCTAACAGCCTGAGGACACTAGTGTGTAGATCAGGTATAGCGCTGTAATTACGTGTAGTTCCTTGTGGTGTGTGTGAGTGGTCAGAAAATCCAATCATCCAATCCAAACCCAGTCTAATAAGTCACGAGACTTAAATACGCGACAGTATCTTGAGATTTGCAAGTCGATGATGAAATATGTAAGATTAAGGGGGTTTTATAACTGTGTCCTTACTGAATGGAGACGTAGATGCTAAAGGGTTCTGACGATGGTGTTCAACACTCGGGATTACTGGACGCTTGGGCTTTATCCAGTGACAGACGTTGGAGATAGTTCAAATCCCAGTAATCTTGAGACTTTCAATTACAGCTTACCATTGTCAACAACTACAGATGCTGGGAAAGTATTTCTAACCAAGTCGTGATCATGTGTTCAAATTTCCACCGATTTTTTTTCTAGAAAATCTTCCGATATGATAAATGTCGGCATTTCTTCTCACAGTTTATCACTCGAGGTACACTGTTATCGAGAGAAGATAAGTTGGATTTATATTCAGAATGGAACAAGTCATTATAACGACCGTGTTTTAAGGAATGTTGTACCCAAAATTTACTGTGCCACTCTGTTTACAAAGAAATGAATAAGTGAACACTAAAATGGTTATGTACCGGTCACGGTAGTCGAGCGGTCTAAGTCACTTACTGTCTTCGCTCGCTTGGAAACCGGGAGCTGATCACCCGCCCAGGGAGTCCTACCTAATGTGTAAGATCTAGAAAAACCGAAGTGAACTGAGAAGTTCATGGAGGTAGGCCTAGGCCCACTGGGGCTGTGGTGCCAAGGAGAAAAAAAATTATGTGTTTAATTACTGTCGACTTCCTTTTCGTTCGAGCTGCTATCAGTAATATAATATAACCAGTCTGCATAATCTAATGACATCTAAAATGTTCATCTCAGTCATGCCATAGCACTTACCTGGTGATATTAAATGCAGAAGAAGTAGTCTCACGGATTCCTACTGCTTACATCGTTGAACAGCACTGACCAGATGAAGACTAGAGAATCTCTTTCCGCTTTCGTACGAATATGTAAAGTAGGATTGTGCAGAAAGCCGTCTTCTGGGATGTGGCGCAGTGTAGAAATTATGTTAACCGACGTTTCGTAGGAACGTATCGTCTCCATCTTCAGGGTAGAAGACAAGAAAAATCATCCGCGACCAAACCAGCAGAGCAGGTGCAACAGACTGGTGATTCACTCGCTGAACGTCGGTTAACACAATTATTACACGGCGCCACATCCCAGAAGACGGCTTTCTTCATAGTCACCGCCGTGAAAACCTCAAACTTACATAGGATTGTGGAGTTCGTATTTTGCCTAATGTTAACGCAGATGTCACCTGCTCGCTCGACGGTCCTTCAAAAGAAATTATCTCCAGGCTCATTACCATTCTATTTAATTTATTGCATTATAATATTTCTTTCCATTTTCCCCACTTAACTGATATGAAAATTACATTTTCAAAGAAGTAAAATTTACTGATATGTTGGGATTTTGGACACCATCGTCAGAATCCTATAGTAACTACAAGTAAAATTTAATCTTAACATCAATCACACTTCTTCCATTCTTTCCGCCCTCGTACCATATTCAGATCGCTTGATGCATTATAGGATTGCCAAGCAACAAATTAGCGCTGGACACTAGAATTTGTGCGGGTGAGCGTCCCAGTTAAGCAAGAATTCATTGGCCCTTTCTAATTCCTATCTCTATTATATTTTAAATGGAGAAAGAAGTGTAGCTACTGAATACGCAGTATGATGTAAATGTTCTTATTTTAGAAGATTGCATTGTATGAAATTAGTATATTTTGTATCTGTGTTTATACTATTGTCTCTCGCATCAGTTTTTAAAGACGTAATTGCTTTTACCACTCAATTGCACGTATAGATGCAACAGCCTCACAATTAGACACAATGTCCCCCTATTTAATCTTTCTAACATTTCAACAATTTAAACCTACTATAATCCATTTTTTATATTTTTTGGGGGGGTTTTATAATCTTAAGTGTGAAATCTATCACGACATTTTGCAAATCTACACATCTATTTAATCTAAAATTCAGTGATGGTACATATTATTTATTTAATTGTCTACTTCTCTTACTGGTTCACGGATCCAAACATGTAGTGTATCATGGCAGATATGGTTGACTGCTATAACATATACACGAATTTTAATAAATTTTATTAAAATCATAACCAGTCTATTTTCTTGTTGTATCGACGGTTCTAATACCATCAGCGTAATTACGAGTTAAGTGGTGAACGACTCCATTTTGTTCGCAAGTTCTTAATTTTTCGCGAGTACATGAAGTATTTTCACGTGTATGTGTGACTATCGACGGGGTTTTGGTTGAAGGTAGGATTTGCTGACCACTTCAATGCACTACTCGTGACTACACTTAATATTGGCGCTAACACTGATCTCCACACTTTAGAAATCACTACAGCACACGCCAAGTCCTTTATGTCTGCTGGGTCTTCACCAGTGGAGATTCTTCAGCTTCTGTGCTAACTGCACCGACAAAGATTTCTCTTCACAGTCTCTCTTACAATTCTCTCTCAACTGACTGACTTCTAAACTTGCCTCGGTTATAATATATCGGCGTAGAAACACCGTTTTTGTGCTTCAATCGTTTCTTCGGGAACGTGTTTGTTTGCAAAGGCGTTACTCAGTAACAGCTGCACATACTTGCTTATAAAGAATCTGTTGTCTAGCAGCGAATATTGTTCGTTGTTTGTTTCGTGGTCCTTACCCGGTAACGGATCTACACTCTACAGTATGCACATATTGGTTTGTTTCATTTATTTGAGAATGGAAATGTTAGAGGAAACACCTGTACACAATTCACAACTCCCCCTTTTCACCTTGAAACTAACAGTAGAATTCCGTAAGGGGAGTGGATGTATGTTCACATTCATTTTCGAACTGTGAGAGTGTAGGTATTTCTTTTTGTCGACGGAACATTCAGTGTTATACAAAATGTCGACAAGGATTCAGTTGTTCAGAGGTTAGTTTTGAATCTGAACAGGGAAGAGGACTAGATCGGTATGTAACAGGCGAAGTTTTGAATTTGAACAGGATAGAGGACTGATTGCTATGGAACAGATGTACTTTTGAATTTGAACAGGGCGAAGGACCAGATCGGTACGTAACAGGGGAAGTTTTGAATTTGAACAAGATAGAGGACTGATCACAATGTAACACACGTACTTTTGAATTTGAACAGGGTACAGGACTGATCGCTATGTAAGAGAAGAAATTTTGAATTTGAACAGGGTAGAGGACCTGATCAGTATGTAACATACGTACAGTGTCCTTCAGGAATATAATACTCGCGTTCTTTAGTGTTTGTACAGAATCTAGTATGACAGGCTGTTTCCTCATACAATGAGTTACATAAAATAAGATTTAAGAGTTTGTGGCGATGGTGTATTAATACAATTTTTGTTTTTTTGGACATTATCAATCATCCTGTTTCTTTTATTTAGAACAACGTTCTGGAGACTGGCAGTCTCCGGAGAAAGTGATCGGCTATATCGACTGGGCCCAACTGAGTAGGTTTTTACCTGAGGATGGAGACAGAACCAGTCTTCGAAACTTTGTTTTAAATAAAAAAACAAAACAGTAATTATAGTTACACGACCAGTCAAAACAGATTCATTCTTCCCCAAATTTCTTAGCATCTGAATATGCTAACTGGCCTAATCTATGGGTCGGCAATCTTTTGGCACTGGAGGGCCGCATTCAACTTCCATAACCATAATGAGGGACTCAAGCCTAACAGATAGAAGTTGGGGGTGGTTACATCACAGGTGCATTGATACATTTGTTATACACAC